CATTCAGTGTTGTTTTTAATTATGCTCCATTTTCAATACCATGTTGAATTGACATATTTCTAATATTGATTCTTACCTTACTGCTAAACCCACAGATTCTTGTTTTAACAGCATTTTTTGGCAGTGAAATAAAATCCTAAGTACTTCATTGCCTAAAGTAGGCATTAACATGTGTGTGCAGAACTCTGGGCTTTGATATCCTACACACTAGCTTGTAGTGCTTAACATTCTCAATTTAATTTAAAATGATCACATATAAAAACCTGGCACTTGAGTAAGAATGCATGCAACACATGGTTTTGATGGGATGACAGAAAAATCCAAGAAACAAAGAATATTCCACCAACACCTAGAGCAGTGCCTTTGGAATGAAAACCTGTACTGTCCCATCCACCCCAGAACTGATAACTGCTTCTACAGCCGCTTTCTCTGTCATTGAATGCCACGGAGTCCCCAGCGCCTTTGCGAGGGTGTGCTTGCTTACGGTACAGGCAGCCTCCTTCACACCCAACCAGAAGGGTCAGCACTTAGTGCCTTTGCACTAGCTCCTGCAATTGTCAGTCCAGGGCCTGTGGAAAACTCAGCACTCTGTTAATCCATTTTGGCCATTTACAGTTCAAATCAATGATCCTGCATTTCTCTCTGTGATTTCCCATCCCACTCTGTGCACAGTCCGCTCTTCAGTTCCTCCCCAGAAGCAGCTCTGGGGTTTTGCTCACTGCAGCAAGTGACACAGCTGACAGCCACACTCTCACTCAGCTTTTCTTCTCCCAGGTGTTATAAATAATAAGGAAAACAGATTCAAGATGAAAATCATTGTTCTCCAGATTAGAAGGAGCTTGATTATGATTATACCTTCCTGGTCATGTTGGTATTTAACCTGGCTAGGTAGGAGGAGGGACTCCAGGTACAGCAGAGGCTGAGAACTTCTGTGCCTAACAAAATAATCACATTACTGCTTCCCGCAGAACAAGTCAGATGCAGGTCCAAGGTAAGATTTATAATCTCCTTTTTCATGATCTCTGCACTTCTTTTCCTGCCTTTACAACTTTTTGAAGATCGTTGTTGGACTGAAAAATATGTACACATGTAGGTCTTTTTTTCCCCACTGACCTAGATCTGTCCTTTCAAGCATAGAACCGGTTTATTGGCTTTGGATTTTGCTCTGGAAGGACTGGCCCAGTGTACATCTGGAAAAAGCAGAGTTGACTGTAGGAATCTCAAACGCATACAAAGGGGCTGTGTTTGAGTAAGGATCACAGGACTTACCTTCCTTTACTTCTAGGACTTTGCTTTGATCTTTTTCAGATTACTGTCAGTCAAAAGTTATTTCTGATGGCTTTATGAGGGCCCATGAAAGGAATTGTGGCTTGTTTATTCCACTTACCATGGGCTGATAAACATAGTGCAAAGGCATAATTAGCAGCAATAATTAAAATATCAGTAGCCACTGATATCAGAAAATATCAGTTAAGACTGCAATGGCTGGTTGGAGGGAACATGAAGAAAGACATAAATTCTAGCATGCATTAAATGTAAAAATACTTGTATTTTACCCAAAGGCAGTGCTGCTCTGAATGTCACTCTCTCCACTCCCAAAGTAGTTGAGGGAAAAAGAGAGAAAGAGAGACAGAGAAAGAAAGAGAGAAAGAAAGGGAGAGTGAAAGAGAGAAAGAAAGAGAAAGAAAAAAGAGAGAAGAGAGAAAGAAGGGGAAAGAAAGAGAGAGAGAAAGAGGGAGGGAGGAAGGAAGTGCAGAAGGAAGTTAGGTTTTTGGGGTTCTACACTCAGAATTTTGGAGGTTCTAGACTCAGGATTTTTGGGGGTTCTAGACTCTGGATCTTTGGGGTTTTATATTAATTTTTTGGGGTTCCAGGTCCAATTTTTTGGGGTTCTCTACCCTAACCCTTCTCACCCCAAATTTTTTGGGGTTCTCTACCCTAACCCTTCTCATCCCAAATTTTTGGGGTTCCAGGCTCAGATTTTTGGGGTTCCAGGCCCAAATTTTTGGGGTTGTCTTCCCAGATTTTTGGGGAAAGGGATGAGGGAATGGGAGAGGGGTGGGAAGAGATTCCTGCTGCAACCGGGAGGAAATCAGTGAAATTCCCACTGAAATGGGGGAAATCCATTGAAATTCCTCCCAGCATTTGGACATCGCTTCTTTGGACTTCCAAAAATTCCCCGAAAAGCCAGCGGGGTTTGGGATCTCGGGCTGTGCCGGGCGCAGGGAGGAGGAATTCCCGGGATTGCTCCAGGTAGGATCCAGCTGATTTCCAGCTGCCACTGCTGAACCCCAAAGCCTGGGAATTCCAGGGCTCCCGGCCCTTTCCCACCCCGCAAATCCCGGGATTTGCAGCCGGGCTGTGCCCGCAGCTGGGGCCGGATCCCGGGAATCGGGAGATTCCCTCTGGAATTCGGCTCGAATTCCCTGAGCTCCAGCCCGGGAGTGGGAAAAGAGAGGAAAAACTTCCCCAAATCCATGAAATCCGCGGGATAGGATGGAAACCTCCAAAGCGATGACGCCACCGGCCTGGAAGAGCTCGGCCTCCCCCATGTCCCACCCCGGGGTTAACTAATTAATTAATTAATTGGATTAATTACCCGGGTTAATCACAGCTGAGTCAGCGCTGGGACCGATCCTGTTTTTCACCTGGAAAATCCATCCCTGCCTTTATCCCAGCACAGCTCGAGGGGGGGGAGGAAAATTCCATATTTTTCCCACGGAATTGGGGTTTTTCCCTGCCCTGCTGGGGCCTCCTGTCCCCACCCAGAGGGTGCCTGGGATTTGGATGTTTTTCCCCAAGAAAATTCCCAAGATTTTCCCTGAATTCCCAGCTCAGGGAGCCGCCAGGCCTCGGACAGATGTTTTCCATAAATAACCAAACAAGGAGCGCACAGGAACAGGGAAAGCAAATCCAATTAGGCCGGAGGAATTATCTGGAAAAGGGCTGCGCTTTCATTATCAAAATACCAGATTTTACCTCTGGATTCCATGTTTTTTTTCCCAGAAAAAACCTGGCAGGGAGTGCGTCCCTCTCTCCCTAAATCCCGGCCCAATCTCCTCATCCCAACCCCTCAGAAAAGAGATCGGGAACAGCTGAGCCAAAAAAAATAAACAAAATAAAAGCAGGGAGAAAAGGGTTTTGCCAAGGGGAGGGGAAAAGCTCCGGAATTCGCTGGATTTGCTCAAAGAAAAATTGATTTTTCTGCCGCTGGGATTTTGGCTCGGGATCCCCTGGGACTGGGATTTGCAGGGTGGGTTTTTCCTCCCTCCCTCCTTTTTTCTCTCTCGCAGCAGTCCAGCTTCTGGAATTTGTTTATTTGATTATTACTTTATATGATGAGTTAAAAAATCCAAGAAATTAATATAAGTTGCTCTTCATCATTTCAATTTAAATCAAAAAATCTTGTGGTTGGTTTAGTCCAGAAGGACTGTTATTCCAGCTACTCCTTATGAAGCATGTCTTCATTGTTTTCTCATTTGGAGTCCACCCTTTGGAGTATTTGATCTTTATTGTTTTCAAATAAATCTTGAATTTTCACCATGGTGAATTTGTTCCATTTGTTTTAATATTAGGAGATTTAACATGAAGATATTTTCAGAAACTGACAAATACAAAATGTACATTTAGTTCATTAATTAGGTTAAATTCAAGCTCCAGTCAGTGGGAGAACAATGCTCCATCAACAAATGTAGCACAGAGGTGTTTGCTGTTCTCCATATTTTTCATAAACCTTGTAAAGAAAATCCTCTGAAGGATCTGAATTTCTATCCTGCTGAGCACAGAAAGTGCTGATGAGTCAGTGCAAAGCTTTTACAAACTTATATGAACATGTCTGCTGTGGGATTTGAGTTGAGGATGCATAAGCACTCAAAGCATGTCTTGGAATTTCTGGTTGCAGTCTAGTTGCATGGATCTTAAAGCAGCTTTCCTTGGGGCTGCCAGGGGTTACATCAGGCAGAAACATTTGCAGTCATTGAAAAAAAGAAAAAGCCAATGAAAGCCATGCCTCTTCAAGTGCTCAGTGTTTTGAGGTTTGCCTCATTTTTATGTCTAGTGAAAAATCATAATAATACCTGTGAATAGAGATTCCACGTCAATTGCAAAACTTGCCCATGACATAGTGGGAAAGAGGTTACAAGTTTTTGGCCCCATTAACACCTTCACAGCTCCCCACAGCAAAGTGATGCTCCAGTGCCGCCTCGTGGCTTCCTCCTTCACAGAGTGGGGTCATCCCAGCAAGATATGGTGCCACTGCTACCTTGTGTTTGTTCTGTGTATTGAACCATTCCCTTGATTTTTTACTTTTAATATCATAAACGAGCTCTGGAAATGAGTTTGTGAATAGAGTCAGTGCTTAGATCTGATGAGCAGCTCTGGCCCAGTTGGAGCTGCTCACACTGTGCTGCACCTGGTGCCCCTGGGTGCAGTTGGGTGGCTTGCCTGGTGATAGCAAATTTGAGATGGTCAGTAGGGTAAGTGCAAATCTTCCTCTCAAGCCAGAGCACCTTCCCCAGAGCTGCCAGCAGTCACCCCTTTTGCTCAAGACTGATCCTTCTGTTAGGAATAGGCATCTGCAAATGCCATAAGAGGAGGGAGAAGCAAAAAGGACACCTCTTGTGCTTAAATGTAGGCTACCACACTGCACAGCCATGCTGAAGTGTCATACCAAAACCTCAGTACTGATGAACGGGGACAGGCAGCCTGAACCACCACCCCTGCTCTCTCCTTAGACATGGCCATATTATAGAACCATATTTTATTCTTTTTTGCAGTCTCCTCACAAACCACATTATTTCCCATGTTTAGCTGAAACTGCAGCAGCACAAAGCAACTTACACAGGCTCTGCTAGCTTAGGATAGCGTGGGGTAGAGCAGCTCCACCATGGGACACTCTGCTGGGAATGGGGAGAAGAAAGGACCCATACCCTTTGCTGAGGACTAACATGCTGAACTCAGGTCAAGGATCAGCTTCAGTGCTCTAAAACTTTCCTTAAAAGGACAAAAGGTCAGACTTGATGTTATTCAGACTAAAGGGAACTTATTAAAGAGGAACCAGAGAGGTAGGTACCTTATCCCTGGAAACAAACATTCTAAATTTTGAACTGTTTGTGTATGTTGTGTCATTATGTGTGACATAGCCAGCCTTTTTTAAAATGAACTTGGAAAAGCCAACTCTCTTTGATAATGTCTTCTGGGAAGATGAGTTTGAGAAAAACTCCTGCTATAAGCATTTTCAAGGATTTAATTGCCTGCTCTGGCAGTCAATCTAAAGTCTTGATTTAATTTCTTGCATTTTGACAAGGTTATAATTAGCTTTAAACTCGTGAAGATACGCAAAGCTGAGGTAAGCAAGTTGTCTGTAGCTGGGACCAGAGTTTTGCTGGGTATCTCATTCCAAACCCTCCCAAGGACCTTTCCTATACAGTGTCTTATGCTAATTTTTCCTGTGATAAAAATAAATTACAAAGGCCTAGCATCAATTAGCTACTGAAATATCTAGGTTTTCCTTTTAGTTTTCAACTTTGAAAAGTGTCCCTCTAAATTCCAATGCAGATGTAGTTTGATTTTAGATCCCAGGGTGATAAAAACTGTCCTTTTCCTTTACTATTCACCAACATTTGTAATCTGCTTGTCTACCCCTAAACTCCACACCTGCACTATATTTTGGAGCTGTGAATTTCTGTACAACTCCTTTCCTGCAGTCTCACACAGACTCTAGGACATGGAATTTGCTTAAAACTGAAGTGGATGTGTGGATAAGTGGAATTTGTTTACACATCAAACAAAACTGAAATGCAACCTTACCTTGGAAATATATTCCAACTCAATTTACCAGAGAAATGTCATGGGTAAATATCACAGCCCAGCCTCTACACAAATGTACTTTATATCTTCTGTGACATGTTTCAGATTGAGCATTCTTTTGGGAAATGATATTTCTGGGTACACTCGCGGCCTAGAAATTATGCTTCTTGTTAAATGGTAATTTATTTCTGCTATTCATCTTTGCATTTCTCTACAATAGGATGTATGATAGAATGGTCTTCTCTGTGGTAATGTTAGAAAAAGAAATCTGTTTACAGAGGTTAAAAAGTACATTTTAACAAAAATTATCCATGTCATGATATTAACAACACAAAATGTAATTTGAGAGATTAAAAAGGCATAAATTTCTTCTGTTCTCTTTCTGGTTTTGTTGTATTTTTATTTTTTAGTTACTTTGCCACCATTTTAAAATGACACCTCTGTCAGAGACCTCTCTTCAAGCAACATTGGAGAGCCCACTCTGTCATCCTAATCGCAATAATTTCTGTCCCTCTAAGTATCCTTAAACAGTTTTCTAGGATTATTTGTGCAGTTCCAGGGTGAAAAATAGGAATAAAAGTATCAAAACTCTTTTGAATTCTCCTTATGTTAAGATACTTCTAAACGCCGTGAGTAAGGAATCTTCTTTTATTTCATATATTGGCAATATAAAAGAGGAGGCTGAGAAGAACACTATCTTGGGACTTACATACTTTTGTCACTTTATGTCACAACATTAAATTTATCTGAATGAGGGGTGTTACGTGTTCATGTCTGCCTAAAACAAATGGGAAAAGGCATGGAAGGAAGCAAATTCTAAAGCATTAGACATTATTATAGCTAATGAGTTCACTCTATTAAACTAGGAAATATAATCTATTACATTAGAAAAGATAAACACAGCTGCCTTATTTAAAAAAAAAAAAAAGATTCTTTTACTTCACATTAATCAGTTATAAAACTGAGCCATGTTGCTTAAAGGTAGATAGAAATGTTTACTCCCCCTCAGAGTTTCCCTGAAGAATTTCCTCCAATGTTTTTGGCAGAGGAGATATATAAACTCACAGTGGCATGTAACATGCTCTGGCATAGTGAATTCCATGCTGTTGCAATTCCTTGTGAATGGCATGAGGAAATTTCAATACACTGGCTCTGTTGTTAAGGCAGGAGATACCTTTAGTTGCTGAAAACACAGCCCTGCAGTTTTACCCTCTCACTGAAGCAGTGTGTACAGCTGTTTTCTGGGCAGGGTGCTGTGTGATGCTATTCATTGTATGCAACAGTCTGTTAAAGGCCTACAGTGTTAGCAATTCCTGACTTACAATGTCTCCTTCTGTCTTTCCATATCAGGGAGCAAAGGGAAACACAGAAAGACAGGTCCCCTCTACTTTAACTCTTTTAACTCAAACAAACTGAAAGGGGTTACATAATCATATAGTCACCTTTATTTCCATCTCACAGAAAGGAAAGACATCTGTTTCCTAGGGACTGTCTTTATCCCCAGATAAAAAAACTTTAAAAAAACCCAACAAAAACCAATAAACAAAACCCCTACAAAACCCAAAAACAACACAAAACAAAATAAACAAACCCCCTACCTTTGTTGCTGAGTACATAACAGAGTGAAAGGCAGAACAAAAGCATAAGGAATGGAGCATTGCTCAAGGTTAGATTTTGTTGTCCTTCATTTAAAGTCTGAAAGAATAAACTCAGAATTTGTCTGTGGGATAAAAAAATGCCAAGTAAAAATTCTAAACTAACTACTACCTATGCCATTTTCCTTATGGCTTGATGTGACATTACATTGAAAAGAGGTACTGCTTTGAATTCATATAAAGGATACACAAAAATATTTTTCATTTAATTGTCTATCAGCTTTTGCTTCATTCTATATTTCATAATTTATTTTCCTCTTAAGAATATTATTTTCTTCGTAAGGAAGGCAATTCATTCTGTACCTGGACAAATAAAATTGCATGTGTATGTATGTACTTGAGATTTTATATTGCTAAATGAGCCGTTGCACACTTTTCAAACAACTCAATTAACATATTTTCTTTATTAAATTTACTTTTCTAAAAATAATTTTGCTTTATAAATCTGCCACCTGTACACAACTTGTTTATGGTGAGGGATTTCTACTTAAGCAAAAGGTGACTCTAATATTTCATCCCTCAGTTTCATCTCTCTCCTTGATAATTTTGGATGAAAGAGCTAATAAAATCTCTCTACTCTTCATTACAGACTCAAATACCACGGAGCTTTATTTCTGCTTAATCGCGCTGCTTATTCTTTTAAAACACAATATTTATGTTATATGATGCCTGTTAAACTGCAAAATCATTCTTCTACTGCAAACTTCTGTGAGCTGTCATCTGTATGAATTTCTAGAAGAGTAAAAAGCATTGTATGATGAATGTTCTTTCATGACTGCCTAAAGAGAGAACTCGATGCATAGATGGGTAGAGCTGTAAATGTCACCCAGCTCTGCTAACCTGGCATTGTTAAGACTCTTTAGTTGTCTAAATATGTCCTCCAGCTAATCTCCCCAAGTCATGTTCCATGTCTCAAAACAGATCAAGGGCTTTGGGTTAACCTAAGAAAACACCCAGCCTTTTCTTCTAGGCACAGCATTTCCCACCCAACAGTGGCTACATTTTCTGAGGTCTGGAATAGGTAGAATTACCTCAATTTGATGTATTTCATTGGTTCTGCAGGCACATGCTCCATTTTTTTAGGTGCACTACAGCTTGAGATACAGGCCTTCATCACACTGTGTGTTGCAAGACATGGCACAAATGAAGGTTGGTGCTGTCAAGGAAAGAATATTTTATTTATCTTTCAGAACAGCTAATGCACTCTCTTAAAGAAACTTACAGGTGTTCTGTTCATGATGCTTTACTCTTAGGAAGGATTCTCCTGCAACTTAAATTTTAAAATTAAAAAGAACCCTTTAGGTTTAATGAATTGATAAAATAAGTTCTCAGTGGGAGCATTTTCTTTGAAGTTTCCATTGATTTCTAAATTTGAATCTCCAGTAACCATGAAATTTAAGTTCTACATGTGCATATTCTGTGAAGATGTATATTTTGGCTAAAAAAAAAGAAAACTAATATCTGCATCATGTTTCTTATTTGCTACATGACCTCTATGACTCTCACAGACACAGTAGTTTCTCTACATTATATCCAAAGGAAATAAAAATAGATGTAGTTTCTCACAGGCATGAATCAGTGCAGAGCCTCCTCCGAAGTCTAGGCAGGATGACATACAAGATCCACAGTGTATGTCACCTCCGTCTGCAGAGACACAGAAATAACAGCTTTGGTAGCAAGCCAAGACAGCTACTCACTAAGCAAAACCTGACAATTCTATTGTTTCCTTATTTTCTCACTTTCCTTCAACCCCCGTCTTTCACGGTGTCTTGTGATTCCCAAGCCTATTAACTACTGAGATTGGATATTACTGCATTTTTACTGCATTTGTACAATAAATTCTTCTGTAAAAGAAAGTGTTTGATGTGTTTTAGTCTATTTTAACAAAGAAAAACTTGAACAAGATATGCAATAACTGAAGCACCAGAAAGTACACATGCTTCCTTCAGAAAGCACAACTCTTTTACCATCCATGCAACTCCTGTGATATGGGGCATCACAAAACTTGGGGAAAAATTTTCTTGAGGTGACATCCAAGTCCTTGAGATTTCAAATCAGAAGTATGTCGCTTGCATGGCTGTTTCCTTCAGGGCAGGCCCCCATTAGGAGGTGTCCCTGCCATGTATTATTCTGGAGGTTTTGGCTTCAGTATGGTCTATCCCTTGTGAGCTGATACATGAATATTCATGACTCTTAAAGGAGGAAATCCACACCGCCAGTCTTCCAAAATACATTTATCAGACTGGTTCTCAGGAGTAGTGGAGTGGTAGAGATTTAGTTATAACATGGCACTCAGCCTCTACCAAGCTGGGAGAACTTTGTGGCTTCCTGCTATCACCTGTCTCCAGCTGATCCATGTACTAGGAGTGCCTATTCTATGTTTGGAAATAACACACTGTTCTGGGTGACATCCACTGCCAGCCATGCCCTTCCCACCCCAGCACTCCCAGATCAAGGCAATGAGGGTACAAGCTCGCTGTGGGGGAAGCCTGTTCACCTCCAAATGACAGATAAAGAAATGTCTGGACATTGCACTGAATAGTGGGAGGTTTCTTTTCTTTTGTTGTTTCTTTTTTAACCTGACAAAGAATAGTAAACATATGAAATCAGCTGTGCAGTTCAGGCACTCATGGAGCATTACAGACTGTTCAAACATTGAAAAATTCTAAACAGATATGAGTCATTTACTAGGACCATTGTTTAGACGGCAGAAATACGTTTCCCCCTGTCTAGAACTTTAACAGTGGTTTAAGTAAGCAGTCACAGATTTTCAATGGGAGTTGACCTTACTTAGTTTTAATTTTGAATCTTTCAATTCCTTCTTTGTAAAACAAGATGTGTTTTGCCATATGTTGAAGTTTTTCCTCCATGCCATTGCTTCCCTTGATGTTCATCTGCTCAACACATCTTGAAAACTCTCTGGAGAGGGACCAGCTTGTTTTTGAGTGGTTGGAACTCCTTAGTCCTGACCCTCTCACAATAAATCCTTTTCCTAGGTTGGGTAAAGTTCTGCTTCACTACCATTGCCTTTTGCAGATGGGTTCATAATGGTACACTAGAACAAATTTCAGGATACCTAAGTGTCATGGGGTTACTTTACCTTTAAGGAAGTTGAAGTTGCCGGGGACTGCCTGGAGTCTTTTCTCCTGACCAATTATCAGTCATTGCTGAGAATTGACAGCAGTTTTGGCCATTGAAAGGTGGGATCAACTTGTGAACCCTACCTTAAGATGTAAAGTCAGGGCACTTAGGGGCTCTTTGTTTCTTGGCTGTGAAGGGTGGCGGAGCTCCAGGCCTCCGTTCCCTGTCCAGGCCATGCGGCCGGGCAGGGACTGGGCTGGGCCTGCCCCGTCTCCCGGCCTGGAGATGGGGGGGCCTGGGGAAGGTTTTCCCCGGGCTCTGGCCGGGCCGGGCCGATCTCTGGCTCGGCTGCAGGTTTTGCTGTAACTACATTCACTAGAAACTGCCGAGTGAAGAAGGAGAGAGGCTCTGGACCTGCAGTGGGCTGGGGCGGTGACTAACTCTCCAGAGCAGCTATGAAGAACCTTCCATTGCAGACGGCTCCAGCTCCTGTTCGGCAGAGATCCCCGAACCATCTACAAAAAGCCTGGGCAAGATTTTAACTCTTTCATTACCCAGATGAGACTTGCGGATTAATCTTTTTATCCAGAGAGAGAAAAAGAGAGTGATCAACATGAAAAGAGACTTTATAAACTACCAGTGACAGGAAAGAAAAGAAGCTTCAGAAAAGGTACAGAATAAGGAGATGCTTTAATTAAGCTGAAATACCTTTCTGTTGAAACTATGTAGATGGACAATGAAGTCCTGAAAAGAACTCCTTTAATTCATGATACAGTATGTAGGGAGGAATAAAGTGTTCAAAGTGTAAATTTGAGTAAAAAGTAGAGTAATTATGGTATAGTGAAGTGCTGGGAGATTTGAAGCCTTGAGAGGCAAAGAGAAAACTTTTCTAGTGAAGCTCACAGAAACAGATGAAGACTTTTTGCCTTTGAATAACTCATCCTTAAAATGCCATCCCTAGACTCATGGCCTATACACACCTCAGAGTGATGTGAAAATGGGAGGAGTGAACTCTAATAATAGCAGCTCTGGGCAGCTAACATTAGGGCAATGGAAAACTATAACAAAAATAGTTTTCTTGTGAGAAACTCCATAAATTAACAGGAAGAAACTTCTGTTTCTCTACAAAGACTGGTGAAAAGACTGTAGCAAGAATTGGGACTGTTTTAACCACCAAGGTTCCAAAGTTTTTGTCTCTGTTGTCATGTGAACAAGGGAATAGTGGGTAGATAGGGGATGAAAAGGTTTTTCTGGAAGTTTATTCTGGTGTTCTTATTATTGTAGTTTGTCAATAAACTTTCTTTTTTTCCTTTTAAGTTTTATGCCTGTTTTGCTCTTGTTCTAATCTATATTTCACAGCCTCACAGCAAGAAATAAGTAATTTTCTTAGTTATTGGTTTAAAACCACGACACTAAGGAAACAAAACTATCAATTTTATTGCCTAAATTGTTTTGCACAGGCATCTGAGCCATCCATGCAGAAGGGATTAAAAATGCAAGAAAGGGATAGGGCAGAGAGCTAGGGGAAGGGAGTACTATTGTGGCTACTCTATAAGATGTTCTTGCTTGGGAATGTGAGACTCAGTTCTTCCACTCTTTTGATTCTGGGAGTCACAATTGTGCTTCTGTGTCATATCTCTGCTTATTATTGTCCTTTCTAGCCTTGGCACTGCAGATATCTGTTGCCTAGCTGATGTCTTATTTTGTAATACCTCAGCAAAAGTAGGCAGTTGTAGAACTGACTCTGCCAATAGTCTGTTAAATGTCTGGCAGCCCATAAGGGAAAACACCCAGCCTTGTTCTGCTTTGAAAGGCATAATTAATCCTACTCCAACTGTGTGGGAGTTGTTTCACCTTCATGAATGTATTATGACATATTTTCACATCCAAACTCACCAGTTTCTGCCTATTGGTGATGTTTCTATCAAATATTTCCCATCAGATCACATGCAAAATAAGTAAATCACTTTTACTGGTATTACAGCAACCTTTTTATTTCCCCCTTCTTTGGCCACAGTTTATAATCTTCTCACTTTTGCCCATCATGACAATCGTCCAATGAAGCTCTGAAACAGGACTAAATAAAATAAAAAAGTCATTCAATACAGACTAAATGTCACAGTATTTATAAGAGTATTGGTCTGTACCAGTCTCGGTTTGCAGAGCTTTGCTCTGCTTATATTTTCATTTTCATATATTTGCCTTACTTAGGCTTTTAGGGTCCCAAACCTGATCTGAAAGAAGAATATATTGTCAAATCAGTGTGGTCTCATCCTTACAGTTAATTATACATACAGATATTTATGGATTTTGTACTCCTGAAATAATGTAGGAAGCATGTGGCAGTGGTGAAAACATGGAAGTCTAAATACAGAAAAAAGATAAGGATTAAAAACTCATGCAGTGCAATCAAGGTAATGAATTAGGTTTGTTCTTCTATATGAAGAAAGGTTTTCAAGACTGACAAGTTATGGGGAAGTAGCAACCAAGTATTAATTTCTAAGTTCTTTGCCTTTTAAAATAATTCAGTGAATATGTTCTAATGAAAACAGAGAACCAAAAATCACACTTTTCAAAGACCTTGACTTAGTACTCAAGTTGCAAGTAAATCAGAAAGACATAAAATGTTTTGCAGTATGTGACAAGGATTTTCCTGAATCTTTTGCAGACGTTGATCCCTGTTGCCAGTTTTAGGTCTATAAAGTCTAACAGAAAAATATCATGCCTTTCTTTTGTGGTAGCGAGCTTTAATTCATCCCACTTCCCGAAGCACTGCTAGAAGGGGGAGTACAGGAGAGCACCAAGGCTTGTAAGATACCTCAACAAGGTAAGTGAATATCACAGAAGAAAACATAAATCAGTGTACTGTGTCAGAGTGAATGAGACGACTTTGGGTCCTGTGCTCATGCTTTTGTGTCTGTGCCTGCCTCTTCCATTTGCCTCATCCCACAACTCTTCTCAAACCTAGTCTCATCACAATTGAGATCTGAGCACTGCCTCTTCCCTGTCAAAGCTAACTTCAGTCTGTTATCCTAAAGGTAACTGGTTCATTGAACTCTACTGCTGCATGCTACAGCCCCAATCTACCCTGCAACTTGCTTTATACTAATCCAATATAATCCTGAAAAAAACCACCCACTCTCACAAATTCCTGTTCTCTTGCTCATGTGATTGCTAATCAAAAATCCAAGAATGTTTCTGGTGTCATTTAAACCTCTGTACTGTTTGAAGTGGTTTCTGTTCTGACCTGCCAAGGAAGTTAGCCCTGGACTAGAAAGGAATTAACTCCTTGGCAAATGGTGGTTATATGGTATTACTGGGGTAAAGTCATACTGAGGAGGGGAGACTTTGCCTATGGAGTTTCTGGAGGAGTATGAATTCGCTTTAGGCTGCTTGTTTCTGTAGAAAACTGTGTATTGCTCTTTTGACACAAGAAACAAAAGCACAAATACATTTATATTTAGAACTTAGTGAAGTGGTTGGGTATCATTGGTGAGTATTTCTCTCACCACTGTACTTTGAGCAGTTCCTGAACTCCTCTGCAAAAGCAGAAAGTTGTCTCTCATAGTCCACTGAGGCTGCTCTGACCAGAATCTCTACAGGTAGATCTGCAGCAAGATCTCAACTCCATCCATAGCAGCATGACAGCTAGAGTGACAAACATGTTTTATGGCATCAGGTCTTCCCTCATTCTCAATGACACATTTCTCCCTTCTACTCCCAAAAAGCTTCCACCACCTCTTCCCCTCTTTGAAGGGGCTCCGATATTAATCACTTGTTTCTACCTAATTTCTCATTCAAAATATTAATTGGTAATATTTTTACCTCATTGGTGCTTACCTTAGACTGACTTCTTAGCTCCAGACTTGTCTTTTCATGTGTCTAGTAAAAATATATAATTTTTCTGCCATACTTCTCATTCTTTTCAAGGGAATTCAGAAGGCACTAGAAAAATGTGGAATTTCATGGCATTTGTTTTCTGTTAATTAAAGTCTCTGGATTTTCTTGTGTGACTAGGGTTTGTTGAGTTCATCATGTGATCCTATGGCACAGTCCCAGAATTGCTCAGGTACCTCTAAGAGAATGAGGAAGCTGAGGAGGGCAGGAAAGAGGCAAGGGTGTTTGTTAGATAAAATCAGTGTATACCTGAACAGCTATATCACACAGCACAGCAGTTACTCATTTCTAAATACTCATGTTCAAACCAAACAGATTTGTGTGATATACATCTGTCTTTTCATTTTACTGAATATATATTTAAGTTTAAATATTAAAATATAATCATAATTTTCCTGTCTGTTTTATAGTTTAATATAACTGATGATGCCCAGAATTTCAGGGTTTCCTTTGAGACATATACAAGTTATAGGCTTTCTCTGGCTTGATGACCTGTGTTTAAAATGCTGCATTTAAGGTTTCTCTCTGTTATGCCTATCTCTATTAGTACTAAATTAATAATATATGATGATGATAATAATAAATTGGCATTTAAATATTTTTTCTCCATTATTAGCATGCTTCTTCCTTTGCTGAAAATTGTAATTGATCCAATGATTTCAACAGAGACTGACTTTTTTTCTGGTAGTATATTCTTTAGAAATGGTCAATTCTTTTCAGTATAGTCACAAAAAAATAAGGCAGAAGTAGACCTGGCTGAGAGAGAAGTACAGGAAAGACTTTTAATACTGCCTTGTGTTGTTGATGTTGAAGAGCACATAGATAGTAGATGTTTGCATTTACAACCACATATTTCTTAGCAGGCTCAGATCTCACACTTTGACTGCCTGACTTACCACTCCATCACCAACTCCTTCCTGCTGAACTACTGTGCTGAACCTTGACCTGCAGAGATTAGTTCACCCTAGAGAAAGGGGAAAGAGTGGTTTGGTCTCCTGGTCCTTTTGATCTAATCTTTTCTCCTCAGACCTTCAGGCTTATTACCAGAAGATATAGTCTGCTACTATTTTGGTGACTTTTCTGTATTTTATATTTGTTCTTTCCTCCAAAAGAAGAGGATATAAGCGATACCTTCTGGAATGTGAAACACTATTATTGGATTA